CCAGCTTGGGGAGTAGACTGATGCTTTCATCAGTGCTGCTGGCAGCCTGCCCAGGTTACAGCATGAGCGTAGATCTTCTAGTGCTTGAAAAACTTGGTGAAGTCTCTCTGGTGCTAACGTGAAAGGAGGGGAGCACAAGCATGGAGGGGGAGGGAGAATGTCCTTAGGTCACAGGGCTTCACAGGCAGTTTCTGGGGTTGTTACTTGTTTGCAAAAATGCGTCATTTATTTAGTTGACATATTTATTTGGAGCATTTATTTTCTCCAATTAAAGACCCACTGTCCAGTGCCCAGGGCATACTGCCATCAGTCTCAGGGTGGAAGTAGAACCAGACTGTCCGATTTGCTGGGCCCTTCGGTCCCACAGGGATGGAAATGCTTTAGATGTCGTTCATTGCACTGTGTGGTTAGCTGTCAATTCCTGTGACTAACGAGAACAATGCTTACTCGCTTCTTCTGGGCCCTATCCGAATGTTAGGTGAATTGATAATTATTCATCTAAGTGGAGCTAGGCTAAGACCTGTATTAATGAAAACCTCTTGGGTTGGGGCAAGAAACTCAGCTTTCAGTACTTTTTTAAGTACTAAAAATACCTTAAGCAACACAAAAAATACCTTTTGCTGACTGCTGTCATCATCCTCTCTAGCTAAATGTGAGCAGTCTGAGAGGCTGAGCTGATCACGTGTCTGTATTTAGACCAGTCATTTGTTTTAGATGGTTCCTTTTCTTGTGATCTTTTTTGATCTGGGCATCAGTGGAAAGCAGCTTTTCTGGAGAAAGAGCTTTCTTAGTACGCTGATTGGGGCTGGTGGGGTCTGTTCATCTGGAGGATGTCATAGACATATGCGCAATGGCTGTAAAATGCATGGATCAGGCTGCTATTTATGCGATGGCTGTGCCGTTGTGAGGAGTGACTCCAGGTGGTTTATTTCAGCGTGATGGTGCTAGCATCAGTTGAGCCATGCCCAGAGATGAGACCATGCTGTTAAGTCATGTTGCTTACCCTGCAAATTGCTCTAGCCCTGCTGCTTGCAAGCTCGTTCTTTTGACAGGCCTCCTGCTTTCAAAGAGATTCCTCTGGACCTCCTGATTCAAATGTGTTTGCATGACTTAAGTTACTGCTCCTAAATGATGACACATGCATCTTTTCAGGACCAGGCACTTGGTTTTGGCACCGAGAGTCTGTTCCTTTCTTAGCCTAAGCAGGGCTCACAAAGTCAGTAACACTGGTGAGGCCCAGTGTGTGCTGGCTTTGTTGGCCGTGTATTCCCAGGAGATTCCCCTGGATATGTTTGCCAGCTTTATGCCTTTTCCTATAGAAATGGAGGCAGCACCAAGACCAAATCACTCTGGTACTACACTACCCTGAGTCACATGTTATATGCAAGTGCATTATCTGTGTTCCTCCGTCGTCTCCTTACTTGGGAAACTGCTTGTAGGTCCTCTTCAACAAAGGTTTGGAGCTGGGCTGAGCACCTGGATACTGCATGGGGTCCTGATGGTACACCCCAGCTCGAGGTGGTGTATCTAGCTTGTATCCACACCTGGTCAGAGCTTGTTCCTGAATTTCAGCCTTGAGTCTGAAGTGTAGTTTGTATTATTCAGTTTTTCCTTTATGGAGAGTGAGGGAAGACTTTGCCTTGGACATAATCTGTGTTGGGATGTTTGAGCAGCTGATACTGACACTCGCAGCTCTTCCCTCCTGCCCTACAACCTCCCCTGATAGCCCCCAAATGCCTGAGGAAGTAGTGAGATTCCCTACCTGCCTCTGTTTGCAGAAGCTGATTTCTGGGGTTGTGGCTTTTAACGTGCACAAACAGCTCTAATTTAGTCATTTATTTAGTTGACATATTTATTTGGGGTGTTCCTTTGCTTCAGTTGAAGATCCTGTGACCAGTGCCCCAGGCGTGCTCAGCAGTATGTGAATGAACAAGTTCCATCAATTACTCTTGGTCAGACCAAACTGGCCAGGGAAAACTCACATAACTCATCTCCCTGCACAGGCTCGGCTGGAGCTGGACAGCTTTGCAACTCGGCTTTCCCTGACTGAGGGGCACATGGTAGCTCCCCTGTGAACACTGGAGTCAGCACAGTGTGGGAGAAACAGCTTTCCAAAACCTGGGGTCCTGATGTCCCTTCAGGCAATCCCATTCCCTTACCGGTGCCGGGTTTTTTTGTGAACCCTATTCTGGCAGCTCACTGTAGGAAGGGAGGGGTTAAATACTTGTGCTCACAGCTCTTGCTTCTGGTGCTAAAACCTGTAGTGAGACAGTGTACAGCACCTTGATCTTCAGAGTTGTGACTACTCTCTTCTTCCAAGCACCTGCTTGGAAAACAGCCTCTGCTTTCTTAGCCCTGAAACGTTGGGGTCCTGCTGCATTACTACCCAGAACAAGAATGCACGAATGTCTCTTTCACTCCTTCATGTCTTATTCGGTGTTTTAACCATAAAGGCCAAATGGAAAAGCACCAGGGCATGACAGGTGAGTTGTCAGTCATTCTGTCTGCCCTGTAAACCACTGGCTGAGCAGGATGGTTTTGCCAGGATTTGTGATGAGTTCCCTTAGCTAAGAACAGCCTGGATGCTCCAGTTGTGTTTGTGTGTTAGCCACTATGGGAGAAGAGCTGCATGCTGCCCTTGCACACAGCTCCTGTTCAAAATGTTCAGTCTGAAAGGTGTCAGCAGTCTGGATGTGGCTGGACGTATGCAAGTCTTCAGCCAAGCTGTGCTCTCATGAGACTTTTTTGCCAAGAGCTATGGTCATTCTGATGTGCAGCATGTTACAACAGACTTGAGGGTCTCTTCCATCTCAGAACGAAATGCACTTAAGAAAACACTTGATTGAATCAAACCTGGTCTCTGTTCTCTCTTACAGGTTACCAGGACAATGCCAGTACTTAGGGCTGCCGGTTGCTGATTACTTCAAACAGTGGATTAATCTGAAAAAGGTACTTTTGTGCAAACTGCCACAGTCCCTGTCTCCCTCTCTCCCCGCCCTCCCATTGTCCTTCTCCTTTCCTCTTTAAGAAGGTGTCTAATAACTACTGCTGTTTTGCATTGAAATGAGTTATTTTCTCAGAAGCTGGGCTGAGCGAGTCCTCCAGCTCCCTATTGTATCTTCTCTAATAGAGTCTTACTGTACTTGATGGGATGTGTTCTGCATCTGGGGAGAATCCTATTGTGGCAGGCACAGCGCGGTGTCTCCACATAATAGTGGGACACTGTGAGCCTCCTCTTCAGCAAAGGTTGTGTTGGCCCCAGTGTTGCTGACTGTTTTGTTTTGCAGCTGTATAAGGCTCCTAGGAGCTTGGTTCCCTTCAAATCAAGTTCTGGTTGATAAACCAGAAATATTCCCAAATAAAAATCAGTATTTTGCTTTGTGCTGTGGGGAAGGGGAGCTGTCTCAGCAGCATGTCCACCTAAGAAACCAGTGGTCACTTTGCAAAGCAAAATACCTTGGACTTTACTGTCTGGTGCCTTCTGTTGCTTCATGCCTTCTCTGCGTGGCTGAAGAGCAGCTTGCTGTGCATCTGTCTGCACAGAAAAATGTGGTAAAGCCATAAGGCACACATCAAAGTGGGAAGAAAAGAACAAGTGTGATTACAAGCAATAGCAGGGTGAGGGGGCAGGCTGGGGTCTGTGCCTAAGAGAAAGTGGGGTGATGCTCCTGGTTAAACCTTTGGATGAGTAAGATTCCCTTCCCCCATCAAATTTAATGTTTTATTTGAGTTTCTGCACCTTTTCCTGATAATTAGGGGTTTCAGTAAGTGGAATTTGCTTGTAAACAGCTCTTCGTACTTGTGGGCTTTTCTTTTGTTCTTTTATTTATTTATTGTTTTAAATGGAAGCATGAGTGACAGGCTGAGTAGCCACAGAAGGACAATTTGCATGATCTGTTCTGTCAAATAGGGTAGAACATGAGCTTAACAAGGGATGCTGGCAGCACATTCCCAGCTGAACTTGTCAAAGGGTCTTGTATTTCCCTGCTGTCAGAGCAAATCTTTTGGCTGATTGCTGGTCCTTGGTAAATGAAATCTGAAAGCACATTGGGGCATTCTGCAGTTCAGTGACCATTAATGATCGCCATTTGAAGTTCACTAAACTTCCGGTGAATGGATAGCAGCTATATAACCAGCAGGTTGATGGCTGCAGAATAGTAATATTTAATAAAAAAAAAAATTCAAAAAAAAAAATCCCTGTGTTCCCTGATATTTGCTAAGAAGTAGGTTGATCCAGCCATGCTCCTCCTCTGGGCCTCAGGATGAATGACTTATGGCTCTTTCCCATAGTTTGAGTCTCCTGGATTTAGCATGTTAGGACCTGGGATTCATTGTAACTTCATCATCATCATTGTAAATTCAATCCAGGCAAGTGGCTGTTCTTCAAGATGGCGTTCGTGTATTTGGCTTCAAGCAAATACTGTGATACTAAGTTGAGGGCTGGTGAGCATCCATGAAGTCCAAAGCATTTAGCTAAAGGCAGGAGGAGGAGGAAAGTGTTCCATTGCCAGCTCTCTGGAGGGGTTGCAGGCTGAGTGTGTAGGATGGAGGCATGTGGGTTGGAGCCTGTGTCTCCCCTCTGCAGATGTGTTACTTAGAAAGTAAGGCTCCAGTCTCCTTCAGATCATGTGGGGAGGAGATGCGTGTGAGAAATGTTCATCTTCCTTCAACCCCTCTAATCTTTTAAAAATCTGAAGGTTTTGTGACTCTTTAATATCTGATGTCCTGTGACACAGGGTAGTTCCACGGTCCCTGTGCCCCTCTGGGAAGTGATGCAGGTTGAAGAGGAGAGCAGGGACCTTTCTTGTCCTGTGGCTAAAGAGCTGCCTCTCCTGGGGCTTGCTTTTACCTTAGGGTGAGGATCTTTCCGTGCCACTCACTGCCCCACTCTCTGGGGGTGCTTGTGGGGGAACTGCCTGTGTGTTTTCATCAGAGAGGATTTCCAGCCTAGCTAAATAATTCTGGCCAAGCAGTGAGACCTCAGTCTCTTTTGAGTGATCTCCCAGTGCGAGACAAATAAGGTTGGACAGGTATCTAGCCCCCCTGCTCTTCCCTGCGTAGCTCAGGTGGCCCCTTTTCCCCTCCCTCTGGCATGTTCCTGACAGAAATACCTCCTAGGCTGAGTCTGCCTCTGACCTGATCCATGAAGTAAAGGTGTTGGGGAGGGGGTGGTGTGAAACTGCTAATTTCTAGGTCATGGATAATGCAGAGACTAGGATGTTTCAGATGTCACGAATACAGTTCATGTGAATGTAAATGGCATGTGTGACTGAGAGCAGTTCCCTACAGGATGGCCCCACCTGCATCTGCTGCCTGTCCTTTGGGGCTCTGCTTGTGAGCAGTGATACTAAGAGGGCCCTTCTGAGATAGGGAACTGCTGCTGCAAATACAAGGCAATGCAAAAGAGTGGGATTAAGTACAGAAAGGTGTGTGTGTATGAGCCAGACATGTTTGTGTACCTGCATGTAGCGTGGTAGTGACAAAATATGCTCCAGATTCCCTCTGCTCATGCACACAAGGCTTCAGCTCCTTTTTGTCTCTGTTTTGTACCATCTGAAGAAACTACTTGTTTGTGCTGCCTCTGCCAAAGTGCAGGATGCTCCAGAGCTAAGCTGTCCCTCTTCCCTAGGTGGTGAGACAGTCTTTCCCAGGGTTCTTTCTTCAATAAACTCCTTCCCTTGTCACTTCTGTGCCGCAGGAGCAGTTGGGGTGAGCACCCTGTGTCTCTAGACCTCTTTCAGAGTATCTGAGACTTGCCTGTTGGGCAAGCTGAAGATGGGAATCGGCCGCTGATAGCTGCCACGCTTGTGTGGCCCAATAAAACCTTTTCAGATTGATCTGACCATGCAGGTGGTGGTGAGCTCCACACCTGACTGCTGTGATGGTGGCCGCAGTGTCTTGACATCTGTGAAAAAGCCTTCTGTGGAGGACGAAAGGAGAAAAGCTGCCTGTACACTTGACTGCATTTGCTGAAGTTTTACCTTGCCCTGTCCCGCCCCCCCCCCGAGCCTGCTAATTCATCCCTTCTGTCAAAGCCTGATCGGTGTTTGCTGACATTTTTAATGTCACTGAGCGATCTTATATCTCTGGTGAACTGTCAGTGTAGAGCTGACTCGAGGCAGAGAGTTTATCGTGTTCTTCACATCGATTAGCTCAGCCTTGTGGGAGGGCAGCAGAAAGCAGAGACTTTCTTTGGATGCTGCAGAAAGCAGAGGAGACTTTCTTTGGATGCTGCAACATTTCAGATATCCCCCTAAACCATCTCGATAGAGAGCCACCATCCCATCTGCCCGTTCTCCTTATGTGCCTGTCATATCAATCCGTAGAGGCCCCTTGGGTTAGGACTGAGGTGCAGAACCTGAGCTATGTTGTTGGAACTGGATGCTCAGGATGTAAATAGCAGAGAGTGCTTCATGTCAGGAGTGAGGAGCACCAGAAATACGTGCAGAAAGCAAGAGGCTGTACATCAAGATTTATGCAAAAAGGAAGCTACTGCAGCTAACAAGCTACAACCAGGCTGCTGCCCCAGGATTGTAAAGTAGACTGGATAAATTCATTAGCACTTATTCTAGCACAAGGATCAGCTCTCGTTCATGCTCCCTTTGCTCTTTTGGGACCCTCTGTGGTTTATCGTTCCAGGTCCTGCTTGAGTTAGCAGCATATGCAGTCTCATGATGGATCCTCACCCTGTGGGGGTGGAGCCAGCACTGTGTTAAGCTGAGGACACTGTGCCTGCAGTCGCAGGGAGGCTGGGAGCCTGGGAATGGGAAACCTGGCAGGCAGCAGGACTGCCACCACTACTGGGTTTGAGAGCATATCACAGAGGGGAGAGTGGTTTGATGGAGGAAGGAGGTGGAAGAAGGGGAGTGAACCTAGATTTTCTTACAATTATCTTGTGCAAGAAAGACATTAGAAGGATGACAAAGGTGTCAAAATGGCCAGACCAAAGGTCTAACCCAGATCCTCCCTGAGCCAGAGGCTAGTAGCCAATGCTTGCAGGTGTAACAGGGAGAGCATGGTTCGAGTCAGCTTTCCATGGTTCCCACCAGTTGTCTCTTCAAGGACAGAGCTGGCAGCTGCCCCTGGGCCACTGTGTCCGTATCTGTCTAGCAGGAACTTGTATGCCCTTTTCTAAATCTGCTGAGGCTTTCAGTTTCTACAGCATCCTTCAGCAATGAGTTTTCCCTATTTAATTATTCATTAATTATACTCTGTTCATTCATATGTTGTGTGAAAGTGCAGGTACTTCTGTTTCTTTTAAACCTACTGTCAGTTTATTTTCTTGGGCCTAGGTCTTGCATTATGTGAAAGAGCAAATCAGTGTTTCAGTTCTTCTCCCTTGTATTATTCTTGACTTGAGACCTCTGCCATACTCCTGCTTACTTGTCTCTTTTTCCAGCACAGCATAACTTGTCAGAGGGCTGGCACAAATGCACTTGCAGGCTCTGTGACTCTAGAATTGGGTTGTGGAAGCTATTTTTAACACTGGATGCACTATCCTGATATTCCATTTCTTCTCTGGACCTTATACAGTTAAAAGATAAGAGGAGTGTTTTATGTAACCGCTAAGGGTTTGTTTTATTCCATGGTTTTCAAATGATATATTTGTTTTTTTAAAAAGGCAATCTTCATACCCATCACAGAGCAGCCCCTTTCTCAGGACAGCTGTCTTGGCATGTTTGACCATCTTTGATTTCTGTTCACAGAGGGCATCGTGTCTTTAGATACAATAATAGTGCTTGCTTTAGAAGTGACAGAAAACTGGTCCTAGTTTTACATCCTCCTGAAGTCAAGGAGAGTTTTTGTGAAAGGCCAAGGATTTGAAAGATGTGTGTGGATGAATGCAACTTTTCTTCTCTGGGCATCACAAAACAGAGGTGATGGAGCCTTGGGGACCACAGCGTGACCATACTGGGGGTGCTGTGGCTGTGTGCAGAGCTGGCCTTTTC